GGGATTCTTTGTGAGTCTAGATGAAATCTGGTATATGTGCCTGAGTAAGCGTGAATGAGCGTTCTGATATCAGCCTAGTAATTCAATAACTCATTTATCTGAGTGATCATAGGATAACCTTTCTCTTTATTTCTAGATTATTATCATCAAGGTTCTCCTTACACAAGAAATCCACCATATATTCGTCTATAAATTCATTAAAAATTTCCGCGCATTATCATCATTTTGGTTCGATAATAAATGAACTGAACGTTGACATTATCAATTCAAAATTCGACTTATTAAGTAATGTCATATCTTTTTCAATCATTTGATTTTTTTTCATTTTGTAATCTAAACCATGGAATTTTTCTTCATCCTTCATTTTGGCCCACACAGGTGATGCTAATTCCATTGCTAGGGTGCGTTCGATTTTTTCTGCTTCACAATGCATATCATGATATGCCTCTGTAAAACACAGAAAAGCATTTTGAAACATTTTTTTAGCGGACTTTATTTTTTTTTTGACGTGGCATTATTTTAAAGAGATTAAAATATTAATCCCGTAATTTTTGTAGTTAATTCTTTTTTTTTTTAATAAAATTTTCTGAATGATTATCGTAACTTATTTGCTTTTATAATTCATTTTTTCCAAGTAAAATATTTCCAAAAGAGCATAAAAATAAAAATTATTATCTCCTTGAAATGCATTTAGAACTGAAAAGATTTCTTTATTCTCTTCTTGAAACGCATTTAAAATTTGTTTAGCTAAAAAAGATAGATTAATACATTTTTTTTTTTATCCTACTGTATAACGATAATTATTTACTTATTCATTTTTATTTCATTTTATTTGTTATTATTATTATTCGATTTCATGACATCTGTAATAATTGGAAGAATTTATATAAATTTGACTTGCCTATTATTAAATTATCTATGGCGGATGTGGCTTGCTTACTTCTACACATATCGATATTAAGTTACTCGGATCTTGGGTGTGGCTGGAATAGAAACCGATTCAATATTTTAATCGGACACTCGGTCAAATTAAAGCCGTACAAACCGTATAAACATTTTTCATATGGAATTTATGCAAGTGATCATTATCTAATATGCATAATGTAAATTGTTTGTTTCTTAAAAAAAAATTTGATGTAACGGATGATTTTACTTTCAATTTCTGCGCAGGAATCAAAAAAAATAAAAAATAAAAAATAAAAAAAAATGAAATAAAAGATAACTTTACTGCATAAATACTGATTAGTTGTTTAAATGTCCCTTCATGTATTCAATATACGAGTACATTTCTTCATTTACCATCTAAATTATTTGAAGAAAGACTTCTTGGCCATGACCATATAACGCTCATAAATGGACATAAAGATGCATAAACGCCGATGCTAATATTTTTTTGAATTTTTTTTTAAACTTTACCATATTTGGTTAATTACTGTACATCTTTATCTTGTTGTATGACAATATTATTAACATGGATTGTACCATAAGATTGTACTGTAAGATTAAAACAAAAATTTATAAAAAACAATGATATCAGATATTATTTTTTCATATAAATTATTTACTGTATCATTTTCAAATAGATTTTTTTTCATCATCTTCTAATTAACTCCGATTAAGTAATTAACCAAACACAAATAATACAATCTTTCAATTTCCCATCCTAAAAAAGTAAAAAGAAATGATAATTCTTGTTCATTATTAAAATACATTAAAATATATTTCATTTTGTTAATTTTAATGATTTTAGCGAAGTGGCTTCCGTATTTTCTTATGTAGTTTTTAATAATTGCATATTCTTTTTTTTCTTTTTCTTGATCGTTCAGCTTTTTTAATCGCTTGATAACTAAATCATTACTTTATGTCGTTTGGAGAAATCTTTGCGTCAAACATCCTAAAAAAATATAACCGTTCATTTCTCGAAATTGTTATATTGGATCCACCTTTTATGAAAATTATTTACATATCTCTTGTTAAGCGGATTCTGGTCTGAACAGTCTTATATTTTTAATTGCGTTTGACTGTTAGATGTTCTGCGTAACCCACTACTTGTTGAATATTAACATAAATTTCATTTACGGCATAAAAAAAATGTCGTACCAATTTTTTCGAATTAAGTCAAATCTTATTGAATTATTAAAATATGAGTTTGGTAATATAGATTTTTTTTTATTCTTGAAAAATTTATTTCGAATATTAAAAGTCATATGTAAAAGAGGATGTATTAATAATAATTGCTGTATAAATAATGATTTTCATCTGCGATTTTGCCCAATAATAACAAATTCAATAATCAAAAGCCTATAGTCAATAATTAATTAGTCAACATTCTTTATATTAACGTTAAGTTTAAATTTAATACAAGGAAACTCTTTTTTTTATAATAGCTCTCTTTATTAGTATCGAAATAAATTGACTTAAAAATTTACATCGTGTCAATAAAGTGCGTATACTCACGTATACTAAACAAACAAACAATGACTAAAAACTTTCAAGTTTCAACTAATCTAATACAAGGAAACTTTTAAAATTTAGAATGAAACAAATATATTGAGATGTCGATTTGTACAGTATCAAATGTAGATTGATACCTTTG